CTGAGCAAACTTCTGGGGGAAAAGATTTCTAAAATCGAGAAGTTTGGCCATGTTTTATAGGCTAAGTTGTCGCTCCATGGTGTAATCATTAAATAAAAAGAAAAGTCAGAACAGCCCACAAAATAGGATCAGATATCTATGAACCTTCCCCCCCCCCCCCACTTCTCCTTCACTTTTGAAGATTGTTGGACATTTCATCTGCGTGGCAATGACTACTATTATATGTAATTTCCAATAAATGCATATTTCCGACAATTCCACTTTCTTGTTTGGCTTGATATTTGGCTTGTATTTTGATACTCTGAAAGTAGGGTCCATGCTGAAACAAAGCAGAAAGCCATGTTATCAGCGCTAACCGCACCATCACATTCCCGAAGTGCGCACGTTGCAATAAAATATTGTCGATTACTATTGCGGTATAAAATAGTCTGGGGAAAAAATCAATGAGCAGCTTTGTTACTCCGATACAAAGCAGAAAGCCGCCCATGTTACATCAATTAAAGAGAAGGTTGAGTTCTGGGGAAAGGTGAACAATAAAGTGTGAGCGTTTGTTATCATTCTTATTATGCAAGTGTGGAAGAACATCAAAGAAAAAAGTTATTCCCTGAAAATCCATTTCAAATGACTTCATATCCCAGATATGACAAGTAACAGCTTTAACATGAGGCCCGATTTGTATGCCATGTGTTTGTGTAGTCCCATATCAATATCTGTCTGTGTACAGTGCTTGTTACTTTACCAAGACTGGGCCAAAGATTTTATCGTTTTAATGACTCTAAAACCTTGCACTACACACCAATACTTACATGTTTACGCTAGATGATCAACCTTTTCTGATTGCTTCCACACCGTTTCTTTCACAATGCAATCGCAAGACCAGAACTCAACTTTATCTTTAAATGCCAACCGCACCATCACATTTTAGAGAAGCGCGCGCTTTGCAGAGGTTCGGTTTAAATTACACTCTTAATGTCAGCGAGTAAATTGTGCCGAGTAAAACAAGTTGAGTAACAAAATGAGCAATTCAGTACTCAAGCTGGAGTAAGACCTTCATTTTAGTGGTACTCGTCACCCGAGTAATTTGTTACCTTCGATGAAGAGTAAATCAATGACTCAACATTGAGTACGAATTTCGTTTGTATCAATTTTGAGTAAACTACGGTTGGGTATTACGCTGCGGCAGGTGATAAATAAATCAACATTGATCTCTTACCCGAATTTACCTCGGGTGCGAGTGAAAGTTGGATCGATGGAAAGTGCAACTAGCTGTCAATATGCATGTGACACCTGTTCTACACATTTTTACATAATAGCAGCTGTATGTTCCTTTGTCTACCTAAGGAACTGGATATTTTGTACTCTTTCATTGTCCGTCATGTGCATGTCTCGTGCATGCATGTGCGCGTGCAGAAAGATGCGAAAGAACTGAGATACACTCTTAGAAAAAAGGGTGCAAAAAAGGGTGCAAAATAAGAGTTTGCACCCTTTACATAAAAATGAACCCTATTGAAGGAAAAGGGGTTAAAAAAAAGGGTGCAATATAAGATTTTGCACCCTTCCCACAAAAATGAACCCTATCGACCAAAAGAGGGTGCAAAATAAAAGTTTGCATATTGCATGCATATTCATGATTACTTTCCACGTGTTCACATAAAAATACATTTATCATGATTTGTTAAGCAAATTATGACAATGCACATCAATTTTTGATTTTGTATTTTCCTTTGGCAATCATTAACCAATATATTATTTTGTCTGATCATGTTACAATTACATTCACGTTTTAGCAATAGATATATTGATTATATGATTACTAACCAAGAAACATCATGCATGTTTAATATGTATTTGTGTACGAGCAAATTTTACCAGTATTCCTCGATGATGGGTGCAGGATTGCACCTTTTAAAGGGTGCAGGATTGAACCCCTAAAGGTGCTGCTATTGCATCGGTTTGCACCCCTAATGGAGTAAAAACATGTACTTAACTTAGTACATGTTTTTACTCAATATTGATTGAGCAACTAAGCGTTACCCAGAAAACATACTCAATAATTGAGCAAAAAAATCGCTCAAACAATTTGAGTCAAAACATGTACTCGTTAATTGAGTAAAATTTGGCTCAACTCATGAGCAGTTTCTTACTCGACATGAGTTGATTACGTTTCTACCCAGTACTGAGTAAAAAAGGAAACCGCTAAACAAAGAGTAAATATTGTGTAAAGGTTGACTCATTCAAACTGAGTAGAGATTTAGTCTTTTATTGAGTAATATTTTTACTCAACAGATGGGTAGATTTGTTACTCAACACATGCTGAGTAAAGTTTACTCAAAAGTCGGGTGGTTTCCTTTTGACCACCCAAAAGAGTAACATTTTGACTCAAATTGAGCAGTTTTTTTTTAGAGTGTACATCGTTATTTATAATTGTCGGTCGGAGTTTAAAATGGGGATGAGCTTCTGAATCGAGACGGTCTTTTACTTTTTGGAGCGGGTTTTTAGTTTTCGGAGCGAGTTTTTACTTTTCGGAGTGACTTCTTGATTTTCTTATTCTTACTCCACTTCCTTTGCCGCCATGAGGTGCTAAAGCTTTAGCAGAGTTCGGGGCGCCCAGCCCTTATATGTAACTTTTCGTGATTCCCCGTGATTATGTAACTATTTTGTACTAAATGCACTACTCACTTAACACTTGACTTTTGTCAAGAATTTTCATTTCTTCGTTTGGACTTTGTTCGTCTCTGGAACGTTACACGGGCTATGTTGCAGGCTGCCACAGGCCAAACCGGTCCGTTTCACAAACATTAACACATCAACCAATTCAAAATATCACAAAATGTTAGACATTCATTATATGCAAGCCTGATCACAACAAAATAAATTTCAAAATCTATTTTCCACATTGTATTATCCTCAGGACATGTACGAAATACAACACACAGCCATTTATAAAATTTACATTATGGAAGAAAGGAATATAATAGACTAGCCCATGCAGTAGCAGTACGTCTCGACATTCTGTGTGATAAAAGTGTTGAGATATTATGACGGCACTCATTTTTTTTGCTTGTACCTCTGACATCTTTACCACTGACATTTTTTCCTCTGACATTTTTACCTCTGACATTTTTACCTCTGACATTTTTACCTCTGACATTTTTACCTCTGACATTTTTACCTTTGACATTTTTACCTCTGACATTTTTACCTCTGACATTTTTACCTCTGACATTTTTACCTTTGACATTTTTACCTCTGACATTTTTTCCTCTGACATTTTTGCCTTTGACATTTTTACCTCTGACATTTTTTCCTCTGACATTTTTACCTCTGACATTTTTACCTCTGACATTTTTACCTCTGACATTTTTACCTCTGACATTTTTTCCTCTGACATTTTTAACTCTGACATTTTTTCCTCTGACATTTTTACCTCTGACATTTTTACCTCTGACATTTTTACCTCTGACATTTTTACCTCTGACATTTTTTCCTCTGACATTTTTACCTGGCACCCATTCGGCGGCGAGGTGCCCGCATACAGTACTTTAAATCGTTTCTAGTGTGTTGATTACAAACTAATTTTTTACCAGTTAGAAAATGTCTTCTCCTTTTTTTATTCTTGCTCGCTCGCTAAATAAAGAAACAAATGTGCCCATATATGTGTAAATAGCACTTGATGAGGACCAGAGTGATGCAAAATAAATAGTCTGTGAAGAATTTGGGATTAGGAGAAACTTTGTTGAAGTTGAAGTAACGGTACTCCAGAAAAATGTATTTCCATGCATTTTGAGACGCGCTGAACAATAACTTGAAACTTACACCCTTCGTGGAAAACAGCAACCGCACTGGTGTTGCATGAATTATAATTAAATGGAAAGGTGTAGTAATGAGGAAGATAACGTGCTATAGAATTTGAACAAATGTGGGTTCATTATATGGGCTCGATGTGTCAGTTCGTATTTGCTGTTGAATCCTGATTGTCCACGGTAAGGGGGGGGGGGGGGTAGTTGTCCTCGGGCGGTTATTGTCCTCGGGGTGGGGGTAATTGTCCTGGGGGGGGGGGTAATTGTCCTCGGGGAGTATTTATCAGGGGAGGGGTATTTTTACGAGAGGTAAAAGTCTCTTGACAAAGACAATAACACTTTGAGCCCCAATATCCTGACATCTGTTGAGGTCGATGCGTTGTCGGGCATGCTAGTACAGGAGCCAGGGGGGGGGGGGGTCAACCTAGCTGGGAAGGAAACCAATTTTCATGTGCACAGATGTAAAGATCGCATAGCTTCACATAACAAATTGACCGTCTGGCATGTTCTAAGTGGTGGGTGCGGCCAGGGGGACGCCCCCACCAAAAAAGTGGCCCTTTTGACGACTAAATAGTATTTTGTAATTAATGTTTTAAGGAAACCTTGAACCACCATGAGTTTGGTGTCATATGAAAGAGAGTTAAATTATCTACATTTTGATACCAATTCCAAAGAATTTGGGATTAATTAACATCGCAGATTTAAGTAAAAACATGATTTTTGTGATTTTTTCGAACCTTGATTTTTTTTTAACCTAGATTTTATGCTAGGTGAACTTACAATGATTTACCCGCATCTCAATCTTGAAATTTGTCGCCATTTTGTTGCCACCCGAGAAATTACGGAATTTTCCGAAGATCTTCAAGCACCGTCACCAACATCACCTGTATTATATAACTCTACCTGTGATGAGTCATTCATCAATTTGTCTGATGACGAAACAAAGGAATGCCAATTGTGTGGATTGAAATGTGATGAGAAAGAACGCATTTGCATGAAGTGTAAATGCATAAATCAACGAATCGACCAGCTGTCATCAGATCTTAGGAAAGTCCAACATGCAGTTGAAGCTATTCTCGATGCTCCTAAGAATGTGAAGACCAACCCCTCCCCAAGAAGCAGCGGAGAACCCCACCACCCGCCCAGAAGTCAGATCGTCAACAAGATCAGATATCATCGGCCGCTTTTCAGTCTCAATACATGTATCCACCGCAACACCCTCCTCCTCATCAACGTATGCAGTTTGTCCCGCCCACTTCAGACTTCCCAGCACCCCTCCCTCAACGTAGACTGAACCCACAATTGGACCAATCCCGTTACCAGCCGCCTCTACAACCCCCTTCGCGTCCTATGCAACCACCTCTGAATGAACCGACAATCAACCAACATCATCCCAGACCATCTACATTCTTTAACCATGACCTCTACCAGAATCAAGGTTTCGCATTTTCCCCTCTCCATACAACCAGAGCCAACGCCGCTCCTACGCTTCGGTAGCAGCCCCGCCCACCTTTTACAACTACGCTTCAGCGAGCTGCACTTATTGCGGCGAACTCAACCATCGTGAAAATAAATGCAAACATGGTGTCCAGCTTCAATGCCGACGATGCTTACAATACGGACACAAAGAAAAAATGTGCCATTATTAGGTTGCAGGCCAGGAAGAGTGTGCCTTTGAAAGCGAAGTATCTTTGAAGCTAAGTGATTTACTTTCATTTCCTAATGAGTATAACAAGTGTGCTAGTAAACTCTCCAAAGTAAAAGGATTAAAAATTGGTCATCTAAATGTTCGAAGTCTACATGGGAAGATAGACGAAATTCGTTTTCTGACCTCTAAGATCAATCTTGATATATTATGTCTTACAGAGACATGGTTGCATGACATGATAGATGATAGCGTAGTTAAAATTGATGGTTATCACTTAATAAGAAGAGACAGGAATAACAGCACTAGAGGAGGTGGTGTCTGTATATATGTTCGTAATACCATTGTTTTTTTCAGAAAGATATAACTTGTTAAGTATTAACGTAGAGGCTACTTGGATTGAATTATCATTGAAATCTGATAAACTTATCATTGGGTGTTTATATAGACCACCGAATTCTGACTCTTCTTATTTTGATAATATGCTGGATATTTTTGAGAAAGTAGCATCTGAAGATAAGGACCTAGTTATATTGAGTGATTTTAATTATAATTATAAGTTTGATGCTGCAAGTTTTAGTGATAATCCTGTTTATATGATTGAAAATCTCTTCTCATTAACACAATTGATCCATAAACCCACCAGGGTTACAGGCACCTCTTCTAAATGTTTAGACCATATTCTTACTTCTGTACCAGATAAGCATATACTAAGTGACGTAGCTAAGATATCCTTAAGTGATCATTACTTTATATACACATGTATAAATGTCAACAATACTTCTAAGAATGTTCATAACGTAGTACGATTTAGAGACTATAAGAATTTTAATGAGAATGCTTTTATTGATGATTTAAAACATTCTGACGTACTTAATAATAATTGTACTTTTTGTATTCCCCTACGAGGAAAGTGGGTTGAATGGAAACAGGCTTTTTTAAATTGTTGTAACAAACAAAGAATGTCGGGTTAAAACTAGGCACTGCCCATGGATAAATTCTAATATTATTAAACTCATTTATAAAAGAGACTACTTAAAGAAAAAATATGATAGACTAAAAATTCCATATCTATTGACTGAATATCGAAATCTAAGGAATTCAGTCACCAAGCTCAAACGAAAAGAGAAGAGAGAATATTTTGATTCAGTATCTGAGAGATACAGTAATGAAAGTAAGAGGTTATGGAAGGAGTTAAGCAAAATTACTGGAAGGGGGAAAAAAGACTCTGTTTTACCATCTGATTTTGACAGTAATAAATTGAACGATTATTTTGTAAATATTGGTAAAAAGATTTCAGAAATTTTCAGTAATCACGATTTATCATGGAATCACCCTGAAAGTATACATACCTTCGTCTTAAAATCAATTAGTCCCGGAAAACTAAACATAATCTCTCTTCTTGAGCTTTGGTGATATTCGTTATTTATATTTCCGTGTTTTTATCCTGTTCAGGACCATGATGTAAAACAGATTTTGTATCTACAATGTATATCTGATTCTTGTTATCCTGATTAAATATATTTCAATAAAAAAAAATAATAACAAAAATTGAATTTTATCAAAAAACATTATTTTCCATATACCAAAATTGAAAAATCAATTTTTTTTAACAACTTTCCAGGAATTCGTTTATGTACAACTACAATATCCTGTGCGAGGAAGAGGTTGATATATCATTTCAATAAAAATTTATAGCAATCCAAAGTTATTGATTTGATTTTCACAAAAACAACATTTTCGCCCACATGTGTATTAACTGTATGCAATATACGTGCATTAGTGTATTAAGGACCTGTTTAGTGTGTTTACATCGAGTTTTAAAGATAACTTTGATCTAAAACCTCTAATCACCATGTATTTGGTGTCAAAAGATGGATAATTAAAATACCTTCATTCTGATATCAATTTCAATGAGTGATGTATTGTGTGAAATATAAATTTTGAGCCAAAAAGGTGCTTTATTGTAGATATTCCTCTGATTTTGGCCAGTATATCGGTATATTAACTGGACAAAAGTGATTAGACATTTAGTAGTGCAGAAAGTTCAAAGGGTTTGGAGCGTTGAGGGCAATTGATAAGTTCTTCTTCTGTACTCTGGGAGGTTTCAGGAAATGTGGACATTGGCAGTTGCCTCTCCCCTCCCCCCACCTCCACCCCGCCCCTTCCAGCCGCTTGTCATAATCTTGCCCATGCCCAAGACAAGTTATTGCATCGATCAACATGAATATAATATAATATTGCCATATTTGGTTTAATGGTTTATTTTGCCAGACTACTAAGAAAACACGTGTATGCTTGTAAGCAACCGTACTCCGCATAATTCCTATTGTGATTAGATTAGAATGACATAAACTTTTCTCATAAAATAGTTTCGGCTAGGTATGCAAAGTTATTTTTTCTCTCGATTACAAGTAATTCGGTACAAAAATTAAAGGAACATTATGAAACTACTTGATTCGATTGAATCTCAGTTTAAGTCTTTGTGTGTTTCAAATAGAAGGTTCCACGACTACAATTGAGATCAATTTGAAATCTTTTCTGCTTAGCCATGAATAATTTAAAATCGTTACTAACTCCTTGAACTTCTAAGGATCTCACAATTTGATGATTGGAAAATGTCATTAGGTACCAGCTTATAATTTTGATAACACATCACCGTCTACATTAGAGTTCTATCATGCCCGTTGCATAAATCATATGGTCTTTTTGAACATGTTGCTGAAATGACATGATTTTCTGTGAATTTTTCTCATTTTGGGGGGTAAATTATACTTTTGTTGGAAAATGACAAGTCTCCCAAATTTACAGTTAGGCAAAAAAATATGCTTATTTAGAAGCCTTCATGTCAGGGCCTGCAGAACGGTAGGGCTCGAGCACCCCCTCACTTTTTTTGAAAAAGTATGTTAAAGAGAAAAAGAAAGAGAGAGAGAAAGAATGAGTGACCTGCCAGTGTCACAAATGAGGTATCAAAATATGCTCTTCTGACCGTAATTAAATACCTATAAAACCTCTGAGCTTCCGCCGGGTTCCGCACCCTGGACCTCACCAAGGGCCCTAAGACGGGTCCCTGAATGCTCATCTGACCATAATTAAATGCCTTAAACGCTGAGCTTCATGAGACACAGCCCCTTGGACCCTACTTCAATTAGTGACCTGCCAGTGTCACAAATAAGGTATCTAAATATGCTTATCTGACCGTAATTTAATGCCTAAAAGTACCCCTGCAGCTTCCGAGGGCTTTACCCGCCCCCTGACCCTGCCGGGGCAAAGACATTGGACCCCACGCCAATTTACGCTGCACTCGCTCCGCTCTACCTTATCGTTAATACTCCACTTTGAAAAACGTTCAGCAGGGCCGGCATGTAACGTGCAAGTATGGCGGTGGTGCAGATTTTTCTTCTGCCCCCAAAAAACGTTTTTGCTCATTACACCACTGCCCCTGAATGGTGAGCCCCCTGGAATGTTTGCCCCCTCCCCCAATCCCAAACTGCTTCTGGCGCGCCTGGTGGGGGTGTCTATCAGATGTCCCTAAAATACCCCAACCTCAATATTGAGCTAGATCAGCTTGAAAGGAAACCCAAATGGAACCTATATGAAAAGATTCGCCACAGGCCAACGATACACAAATGCCCATTGCCAGATGATTTAAATGGTGGGGAGTGACTGCCAGGCGCCCTTTGATGTTAGATATAGATTTTTTATTTTTTTTATTTTTTTTATTTGGGGGCGGGGGGGGGGGGGGGGGGGGGGGATGGGTCTCGAAATTTGAAAATTTGACATTTTGTCCAGTTGGGGGGGGGGGTAAGGTCACTTTTTTAAGGTCACCCATTGGCAATTTTTTTTTTTTTTTTTTTTTAAATTTTTTTTAAAAAAAAATCAAAAGGGGAGGGTTTTCCAAAATAACATAAAAAAAAACTCGAGGGGGGGGGGGGTTTAACCCCAAAACCACCCCCCCCCCCCTGCGTACGCGCCTGGCTGGACCCATTCTACACCACTGCTTTCAGTCGTTTCAATATTGTTCATCGTTTTAATATTGTTTTGATTTAAAGCTACCATATATGACTTCACATCTTCATCACAACGCAGAATTGATAGAAGTGAAACCCATGAATGATTAATTACCGTTCGATTTCATTCAGTTTACCAGTTGTTAAGTAATTGATATTAATCACAATCATGAACCTAGCCTTAGACGCAGATTGTAAGTCTATAAAGAATTAAATCGGTGTAAAGGGTAATTAATTATCATGCATACATAAGTTTACCTTAGCCGAGTCCTCGTACCTACCACACTTTACTAAAGACACACAATACACATCACCGTCCTCGTTTAATTATTTGATCATCAGATTATCATGCTGATGAAACTCGCTTAATTATCGGTCATGTACCCCTCCATCTTTCTTTTCGTCCAGTATTCATCTGCTTATAACCATCGCTTTCTCTTTAACAGATTAATACCTTCTAGCTGGCCCAGATGAGTCCTGATAAAACATCTATAATAAATTCTCAGCACCTAATCCTCACCCATTTCTCTACATTCTCTTTTGACTCCCACTTTATTTTTTCCTGATTAATGCCTTCCGTATTTTCTCGCTTGTCTACCATCTGTAATAATCAATTATCACCAATCCTTACCCCCATCTGTCCGTTATCTCTTGACTATCCCTTTCTTTCTCCCAGACTGATGGCTTCAGTACCTTCTCGCTGGCCCACCGAGCCCCCTTGTCTTCCTCACCACAAAGTGGTCTACCTCAAGACCCACAAAACTGGTTCCACAACAATGGGTTCCATCTTCAATCGCTACGCCTTCACCAGAAACCTCACAGTCCTTGTTCCGCATCTGGGGCACTTCGTGAACTGCCGGACACTCTTCAACACCAAGCAAATCACCGAAGGGGGTGGCAATCATTCGAAGAAGGGGAACTGGAGTTTCGAAACGGGCTACGATATGCTGACCAATCACGCTCGGCTCGACAAGAAGGAGATGGACAAAGCGTTCCATAATGCCAGGTTATTTAATTCAATTTTATTTTTGTTTCTACATTAAGATCGCAAAGGGCTTCAAGATATTAAAGGTAAAGACCAGTAATGGTCATGCGATTGCATTGTGAAAGAAACGTTGTGGAATCGATCAGAAAAGGTTGATCATCTAGCATCTAGCATCTGCAAGGTTCTGGAATCATCAAAATGATAAGAAATTTGGCCCATTCTTCGTAAAGTTACAAGCACTATACACAGAAAGATGTATATGGGACTACCCTATCTCTCTCACCAGACCATGAGAGAAATAAGTTTACCAAATATATGAATTAGTAGGCGGTTTCCCGGCAAATTTTTTATCATCATGTATTAGTCAAAACATATTCTTTCACATGATTGGTAATGAGAGCTTCCATTTCATTTTTTGAAATTGGGGCGTTGCCAATACTGGTCTTTACCTTTAAGCTTTGACAACTTTTAAAGCTCTTTTTTTTTTTTTTTTTTAATTCCTGTTTCTAAAGCTATGGTCACATCACCTAAAAGTAGCCTGCTCGCCAGGGCGGCGAGTTTTGAGCCAATTTCGCCCAGGCGCCGAACGGCGGCAACCCGGGCACCGCTTGTTTTTAGGGCTTCGCTCGGTCGTTGCTGAAAAAATTGACCGGCGACCGACGGGAAATCGACAGGGCACCGCCCATGCATCGCTGGGGCTCTACAGCCTGCTCGACTTCTCCAAAAATTCGTAGGGCGATGCCTAAATTCCAGCGGCTACTGAGCAGGCTACTAATTGGTCGGTCGCTGTTCTGATTTGTGACCATAGCTTAAGTCGTAATATTCATTACAATATGCCATTCTTTTGCAGCGCATATTTATCATGATACAGTGTGTACGGATGCGTTTTCAAAGGACGTTGGACTTTGCATATTATTCCCCTGGTTTTAACTACAGCAACAGTAGCGCTCAGACTGCCCATAGGAAAGTGAAAAGTATGCCGCAGACCTGCCGCAAAGAGTATGCCGAAGTATGCGGCAGAAAGAAATTTTGCTGCAGACTTGCCGCATACCAGTATGCCACAGGAACAGTCTGCGGAAGATCTGTGGCAGGATGAAATTTTGCTCCAGACTTGCCGCATACTAGTATGCCACAGGAACAGTCTGCGGCAGATCTGCGGCAGGATGAAACTTTGCTCCAGACTTGCCGCATACCAGTACGCCACAGGAACAGTCTGCGGAAGGTCTGCCACAGAAAAGTGGGAAATTATACAGTCTGAAGCAAGGCTTATAGGCGGCCATTTTGTAGGACATGCAGTACCATAATTTATGAGGTTGCAGGCTGAGCCCATGATCTTGTTAATTCCTGTGTTGATTAGCACTGTTAATTGTCTTTTTAGCTTCTGTCAAACCAAACAATTTGCTTCAAGTTCAACTGATACCATAAGAGGAATTTATTACATAAGAGGAGACTGAGGAATTAACGGACTGTTTCAAACTTTTTTGTTGTGCCATATGTGATCTTATCTTCAGCCCCACTAACTCACTTTTTTGTTGTAACTACCCAAGACGAAAATCCAATTGAAACCAATTGAACGCCAATTGAATTTTCAATTGGTTTCAATTGGTCTCAATAGGTTTTAACAGGTTTCAATGGGACTTTAATAGGACTTCAGATGGTTTCAATTGGTCCAGATTGTCCCTATTGGACCAATTGGGCCCATTGGCCCCATTGGCCTATATATGCCCCATTAGACTTTAATGGGACCCCAATTGGCCAGAAGTTGGACTTCAATTGGTCCAATTGAAACCAATTGAAAACCTTTTAAAGTCTAATGGGGCAGATTGGTCCAATTGAAATCCTATTAAAGTCTAATAGGGCCAATTGAAACCAATTGAAACCAATCATCTCATGCATATTCATTATTACTTTTTTTTTTTTTTAGACTTTGAAATACATAACTGTAGTTTGGAGGAAATTCTGTATGGGAAAGAGGAGAGAAATAAAGGAAAATATCAATTAATGAAGCATGTTTTAATTCTTGTTAAATATCTGATTTATAGAAATAGAGAACTTAAAAAACCACCCTCTTTTAATGAAATAAAGAATAGTATAATAGGGGATAAAGTAGAAGAAAGGAAATTGGCAGCAATGAGGGGAACTCTCACTATTCATTTTTCTAAATGGGAAAACCTGAGTATTAGACAAACAATTGGAACCCAGAGCCAGTCGTCCACCGGTTAAGAGGGGGGGGGGGGGATAAGGGAGAGGTCGGGTAGGGTAGGGTTAACAAAAAGAGAAAACTTTTCTCTCAGGACAACAGTATAAAAAGAAGTATACGTTGCTACATTGTTAAAACAAAAAAAAATTTGATTATACAACTGCATATGTTTTCTTTGAAAATATGAATTTTTGTTTCAAATATGATGTATAGGAACTAACTATGTAAGTTTCTTTTGAAGCCGTTTGTAAGACAAAAATTTATACTGATTTATAATGTCATCACATTTGCAGTGAGAGTTACATATGATGATTGTAATTTGTACTATGATTATAATTTGTTTCAAGAGAGAAAAGAATAAAAACTGACCATAAAAAAAAAAAAAAAATTACCTAATTGGTAATATCGATATTGCCACTATCGATTATGAAGTATCAATCAGTTTATCACTGGTTCTTCTACATGCATACTTTATTGCCACGTACTGGATATGAAAGAGTATGCGGCAGGTCTGCAGCAGGTCTATATGAGATATGAATATTCATGATGAAGAGTCTGCGGCAGGTCTGCAGCAGACTCTTCATCATACTGAAAGAGTATGCGGCAGGTCTGCAGCAAGTCTGCGGCAGACCTGCTGCAGACTCTTCATCATACTGAAAGAGTATGCGGCAAATCTGCGGCAAGTCTGCGGCAGACCTGCCGCAGACTCTTCATCATACTGAAAGAGTATGCGGCAAGTCTGCAGCAAGTCTGCGGCAGACCTGCCGCAGACTCTTCATCATACTGAAAGAGTATGCGGCAAGTCTGCGGCAAAACTAGTTTGCATGTGAAAAAGATGACTGTCTGCGGCAGGTCTGCTGCAGATCTGCGGCAAGTCTGCCGCAGGAGTATGCGGCAGGCTCATTTCTTTCCTATGGGTGAGTATGCAGGAAATACATCCTACCAAGTACCAACTTTCTACACTTGGATCGCGTGTGGCAAAATGTATATTGTCTTGAGTGAGGACGTTAGTGCTGCGGCAAAGTTTCAACTCCGTGGTTTACAGTCAGGAGACTTATTCAATAGACCACAACTTCTCATGTTGGGATTGTCACCGCTTATGTAATGTCATCGTCATTTTTTTCACACTACAACTTGTAACGCAAAATGCTAGTGAAATTGCCTTAAATTAAGGGCCACTCTAACCCAACTAAACATAGCCTTTCAAAACATGAATACACCTCTACTTATTAATCTTCCAGCCTCCATTTTTTCAGAAAATCTCTATATTGACCAAAATGTGATAACCATAAATAATATTCGGTAGGGCCGTGCATTATGGTTCAAGGCATGGCCACATAGAGGAATTTTTCCTGTTGGGGGCCGGGGGGAAATGCAATGAATTGTTGACAATGTATTGCATTTTCTTCGTTTGGGGGGGATTTGTGGAAGGGGCCGCGTACCCTAGCAAACACTGCGTAAAGTCATGATTCAGGGGCTAAGCAATGGCCTTGTTACTGTGAGGCCCCAGGATAAAAAATCGTGTCGATCAGCTATATTAGTGCCCTTTTGTGAGGCATTAATCCTCATTACTGTCAATTATGATTTAAGGACGTAGGTTCCCTAGCTGATTAGCATAGTAGCACACATATGATTTAGCAGTCACGCAAAAACAAACACTCGCAAATTAATATTCAATAAAATCTGAGAATGTATGCCATTATCTAGATCTATTAGAAATAAATAATTTTTTCAAATCCTTCCCTAAACTGGGGTAAAAATAAATATTCCATCATTATGACCAACAGTGTACATAATAAATACAAAGTATAACACGATCATAAAAGGAAGATGAAACAGAAACATATATAGAAAACAATGAAGTGCTTACAAAGAGAAAATTATAATATCACCTATCCTTAATACTATTGATGTGATAATTTGAAAAGATGAGTTTTGAGTTCAGATATGAATGTTTCAATATTGGATATAATTAGTTTGGGAGGGAATTTCATAAAAATGGTACTTTATGAGTCAGTGAAAGCCCTATCACCATTTGCTTTTGTTCTGCCTCTCTTAGCTTCGAGGAGGTTTTGAGATGCAGAACGCAAAGACTTTGATGGAACATATTTTAAGACAAGATCAGAGAGGTATTCTGGAGACAGACCATTGACTTAAGACTGTTTTGTTTTTAATTTGGCAAAAAGAATGCACCAAAGCGAGCCATTTATGCATCAATTAAAAAAAAATCTTCAACTTCTGAGGGGGGCACATCCCCCCTCAAACACCCCTTGCGTGGCACGCCCATTCGCCCCCTAACATAATAACGTGGCGCCGCCCCTGAGTAGGCCTGCATCTCTAGATACGAGCCCGTCAATATCTGTTATTTTGTTCCTCTCCCGAGTTTGTAAAACCAGCATGCCTTCACCATCCATTGTGGAGAAGCGTCATCCTACATGAGAGAAAACAATATAGGTAGGCCTACTTCAATTAAAAACTGATAATAATGGATACACACCAACCATAATACATCGTATAAACAGACTTTCATCGATCTTAGTGTGCGTTCGTCCTCATCTTCATTGCTCAAGAAGTGAAAGGACCTCTTACAAGAATAAAAGTAATGAGGGGTCCTGTTGTATACCCTACATGTAGTGCTTTGAATGTGCATTAGATATGGTTCTTCTACACACAGGACCTCCTGTAAATAAAGACAAATTTCCTTTGTAAATAAAGAAAGGAATTAAAGATATAAATATTTGTATGCTAAGTGCAGAACTATAAAATACTCTCCACTAAATACTTTTGCGACGTAAAGTTAGTTCCAGTTCTTGTTTAGTGAAATAATAGGTGGTCGTTTAATAGATGTGTGCTAAATATCCCAATTTTTTTTACCTGCATGGGACTTTCTGCTTCATCTTGCAAATATAAGAGATGTTGTAACGTCTACTCATCAGTTAACTCCCTCCAGCTCTTCAGTTTCAATCTATTGGAACAAAATGAAGAAACAAAAAATAATATGAAAATCAAGGCGTTCCTTTCTCCTTAACAAAATATTACAGATCTTGTATATAGCTAATTTTAATGTCATGGTTGGCCTTAATCGTAATATGGTGAGGAAATCAATATTCGTATTTAATGAACCACGTGCACAGTACAAAGTAAAACTTAATGGAAGATTTAAATTGTGCCTCAAACAGTGCTTTCTATGGCCTATGAGTTCGGAGTAGTACTAAGAATAATTAGTTTATTAAACAAGAAAAGGTGGACTACATATAAGTTAACATAATAATTATAAATGATAAATGATAAATGATAAATCTATTTATGTCTTTGTATATAAAAGAAGACCCGAGTGTGGACTCGGGTCTTCTTTTATATACAAAGAAATAAATAGATTTATCAACATGAACTGCACAATTTAGAGGAAAAAACTCTAATATATGACAACTTGACAAGCTTGCTGGACCCACACAAAATCTAAATATTAAATAAACAAATCCCAGTTTTTGTCTGAATATTTTTACAAATAAGTTCCAGTTTTTACATCTAAATGAAATAGGGTTTGAAGTTGTTTGATTATCAATGGCCACAATATAATTTTGGTCTAAAGTTGACACGCACTGCACCGATGATGCAACTGAGTGAACGAATGGCACTGAGTAAGCCAACGGAGTCCCGACATCCACTGATTTTAACAAGAATTAATCCACTTGGATTATAAAAAAAAAATCATACTTCATAGATTGTTTTAAGGTGTAACGATAAATCTATCTATCGATAAAATACATATTCATGACGCTCACATCCAATCAGATTGAGAGTGCCGCCTAGTGTGCTTATTTTGTCTTCAAAATGATCCGAAAGAGGCGGATTCTAACCCCATTCGCGTAATGTTTTCCGCGCGTGCTGCTTTTTTTTCTGACCGTTCTGAGTCGTCATTTTTAAAGCTAGATTCCAGAATTATTGATGATTTCTAAAAAAAAAATCATTGTCATGTTCGGAATATACGTCAAAGACTATTCTACATGTCTTTTTTTTCCTCATTTTTTTTAGCCCGTTTTGGTTAGAGTGGCCCTTTAACTTTGTTTTTTGAAAAGTCCTTGTGATCGTGTGCATACACTCTATATTTCCAAAAATGTTCAAAGTATGACAGTGAAGTAATCAATTATTACCAATACTATTAACTGTTTGTAGTACTATAATTATTTTAATGATGTTATCATTATTATTATTATCATAACTGATATCATTATTCCACAGGTACGTGACGATTATTCGCGAGCCAGCAGCGCAATGGCAGTCGGCCTTTAACTACTTTGAGGTCTGGAAATCGATGCCCCAGTCGAAAGCGCCCATGGATCTTTTTCTTTCTCAGCCGAAAAAGTACTTCGCGCATGTCATGTCGAAGAAACAATACTTCAAAGTTAGCATGCACAACGAGCAACTCTATGACTTCGGTTTGGAGCACAATGACACGGACGACGAAGAGAAAGTCATGAATAAAATTCGCGAGCTCGAGTCGGTTTTCGATCTGGTGATGATCACGGAGTACTTCGACGAATCCCTTCTCTTGCTTCAAAAGCTACTCTGCTGGCGCATGGAAGATGTAGTGTATCTGAAGCATGGGGTTCGCTCCGCAAACTATCGGAAGAAGAACAACGACAGCTTGGCAGATAAGATACGAGAATGGAACAAAGCCGACTTAATGCTCTACAACCATTTTAACGAAACATTTTGGCGAAAAGTTCTTGAATACGGACCTTCATTTTCCCAAGACTTGGTCAATTTAAAGAATATGCTCTCAGATACCTTTGATATGTGTATGAATAAAACCCGAGTTCTAAAGACTGACCGGAGGGCAGAGAAGTTTTCCAAGAACAAGAACGCCCCCAAGATTTGTGACCGATTGAATATGGGAGATCCACAATACACCAATATTTTTAAACGTCGCATGAAAGTTCAAAAGATACCATTATATCACAATAAGGGGGAGAATTCATGTCACTAACACATTCGTTGGGAATCTATAACATTAAGGTATGTTAAAGATATAGACAAGTTTTTGAAACGCCCCTTTCTCAAAAATGAAATGGAAGCTCTTATTACCAATCATGTGAAAGAATATGTTTTGACCGGATAGATATCACGCACGTGTCGCGTAGTCCCATATACATCTTTCTGTGTACAGTGCTTGTAACTTTACCATGACTGGGCCAAATTTCTTATTATTTTGATGATTCCAGAACCTTGCAGTACACACCAGATGATCAACCGTTTCTGATCGATTCTATAACGTTTCTTTCACAATGTAATCGTATGACCAGAACTGGATAATTCTGATTAGGAAAAAAAATGTACAAAAGGAATTTTGAAGCCATATACACTGTGTTGCATTCCGCTTTCAAGTTGCATTTGATTTAATTGCATTTCTCTCTCCCTTTATTTATCTAGATTATTTCTTTACAGTACTTAAAAGCAGGTTGTCCAGTCAATCTAGCAATATTTAGGGGGTATCCAACCACTTATTGCAAAATAATTTATTCCAATGCAATGCATTTCAGTAAGCTCCCCTAAACAACAAATTAAAAGTCTCAAGAAATCAAACTATGGGGAATTTATGACATTTGCGCAGGGGCGTACGCAGGATTTTTTCAAGGGGGGGGGGGGTTTAAAATCTGGCCCAAAATATTTTGCTCCCGAAAATTTGAAAATCGCGCCGGCCGAAAAGTCGCTCAGTGGGGGGGGGGGGGGGGGGGGTAAGCGGACAAAAAATCGCAAAGACTCAGCCAACCGAAAAGTCGCTCAGTGGGGGGGGGGGGGGGGGGGGGGGGGGGGGAGGGGGGGGGGGTAAGCGGAAACTTTTTTTTTTTTTTTTTTTGGTCTCGAAATTTGAAAATTTGACATTTTTTTCGTTGAGGGGGGGGGGGGTAAGGTCACTTTACGTAAGCCGTGGGCATAATTATTATTTTTTTTTTATTATTATTGAAAAAAAAAAAAAAAACCAAAGGGGGGGGGGGTTTTAGTTTTTTTTAGGGGGGTTTACATACAAAAAAATACCAAAGGGGGGGGTTTGAACCCCCAAACCCCCCCCCCCCCTGCGTACGCCCCTGCATTTGCGTATTATGCAAACCAGCTGTTATATGAAAAAAATGTACGATAGCGCTATAAAACTGCATACAGGTATCCGATTACAATAATGTGGGTGTTGAAACCAAAATTATCGGGGTCACTGAACATGATGAACACATCTGCAGATTGATATTATGAATAGAAGTGGTATAATTATGCAAACTAGTATCCGATTATATAGAAAATAAAGGCTATTTTACATTTTCCCCATATAATGGTATGTTGTTGGTATAGGATGACAACAATCTAGGTGTTTAATCCAATATGTTGGCGGCCTGTAAACATGATTAACATATTTTCAGATTGATTATAGATATAATTTGTATATTATGTCAATTAGCCTCCATCTAAGGCAAATTCAAGGAATTAATTCATTTATTTTACATAAACATTGTATGTATTTAACCAATTCAATTAAAACTACATACAAATCGTATGTATTTAACAAATTAAAACTAAATTGTGACTAAGTATATATTAATACAATGTTTTTAAGGTCCCTAAATGTGATCCACTCATTTTGGAACTAATATCCTGAATTTAATTAGCGTACTATTCTAATCAACGTTTACCATTTAAAAACAAATGTCATAGTATGCAATTGCATCTTTGTTATAAGGGAAATTTTGTAATTTTCCATATATATAAAGATGTATCCAATTGTCGACTTGAAATCGTTTAACCCGTTGACTTCTGAATTCTCTCACTTTCATAGACTTAACACAGGGACCACCTGGTTCCCGTAGGCAATGGGTTAAGTGTTAAACCGTTGTTTACGAAGCCATTTGGCCATTCTCCATACAGATACGATACCCGAGTAATCTTGTGCTTTTGACGTAGACTTTCACCTTTGTAGTTCGTTATTGCCGTAAAGTTATAACATGAAAGATGAGTAGATTAATCAAAGTCGCTATACCAGGATAAATTAGATTTTTACTATTTTGAATCTTAGGGGTGAAAATTGGCGTAAAAGTAGCAAAGTAGATATCATTTTCCGAGACGGTCTTTTCCTTGTTACGAGAACGGAAGCCGTAATGACGAATAATTTTACGCGAATTTTATACAGTTTAAACATTTAAACAGCATGTAGTTAGGAGGAATATATTGGTGACAAATCGCTTTCTTCTCTCTCTCTCTCTCTCTCTCTCCCCATCCATTTCCCTCTCTCTTTATCAATTTGCTTGTAAATAATTGCGGACTGTCGTAAAATGATTTACAAATAATTAATTTAATATCATGTAGTATTAATGGGGAAAATTGTAGTCTCAAGAAATCAAATTGTGGGAAATTAAGAAAATTTGCAAAATATATATACTAAATAACTGTTATCATATGAAAAAAATACAGATAAGATAATTTCAAAAGTTTTGATTATTTTGTGGTGTTATGTCTGAGTATTGTGAAATTGTGTATGCCGAGTTGATGATAGGTGAAATACTTGTTCTTGTAGGAGGTGTTATCTGTATTTCATCAGCAAAGTAGGCCTATATCCTTATAGGAAGTGTCTTTGGATCCATAAGTGGCTGGTGTTCAGCTTATCATGTCCGATTTTGCCTACCAAAGAAAGAAGTTAAAAAAAATATTAAGAAAATTGGGGGCTGGTAAAAGAGGATACAAGATGAGGGAAAGAGATTGTAGAGAGACAGAGAGCGAGAGCGAGAGAGAGAGAGAGAGAGAGAGAGAGAGAGAGAGAGAGGAAAAGAGAGAGAGAGAGAGAGAGAGAGAGAGAATGGGGAGAGGGTGACTATGGGAGAGAAGGGGTGGGAGAGGAAGAGACAGAGAGGAGAGTGACAGAAAGCGTAAGAGTGAGAATTGGGAGAAGGTGACATGAGAGAAAGGAAAGAGGGAGAGGGCAAGAAAGAGAGATAGAGAGAGAGAGAGAGAGAAAGAGAGAGAGAGAGAGAGAATGGGGAGAGGGTGACTATGGGAGAGAAGGGGTGGGAGAGGAAGAGACAGAGAGGAGAGTGACAGAAAGCGTGAGAGTGAGAATCGGGAGAGGGTGACATGAGAGAGAGGAGAGAGGGAGAGGGCAAGAAAGAGAGATGGATAGAGAGAGAGAGAGAGAGAGAGAGAGAGAGTAAAAAAGAGGGAGAGAGAGAGAATGGGGAGAGGGTGACTATGGGAGAGAAGGGGTGGGAGAGGAAGGGACAGAGAGGAGATTGACAGAAAGCGTGAGAGCGAGAATTGGGAGAGGGTGACATGAGAGAGAGGAGAGAGGGGGAGGGCAAGAAAGAGAGATAGAGACAGAGAGGAATAAACACACATAATTGGTAAATATATACGTCATGCAAATGAACAATTTCATTAAAAAGTCTTTTCATTCAAGTTTGCGGAAATGTATTTCAAGGTATATAGTTGAATTTTTAAGGAAAAATTTAGGGAAAATGCATTTCCGCAGTATTATATCAGACATCACCTCCAAATCACTAGTTTTTATGTTTTAAAATAAAATCAATGTTTCCAATTATTTTGAATATGTACAAATATTGAAAAGAATGTGTAGTACGGGATAATTATGTAAATGTACGGTTTATACATAATTAGCTACTGTATATGATAATCAAATACATGATCAAAAGGCAACAATTGTCAGATAAACAAAGAAAATTAACAACTGGTGGAGATTTTTCCTTTGTAACAGTAGTTAATTCCAAGTAATCAATTTAAAGAAATCAAAGTGTCCCTCTTATCTGGAATCTCTCTCAATATTAAACTAAGTTCTCGACTCGTCTAAATGAAGTTTCCCCCTTCCGGAATTTTTTGCGTTTCATCACAATATAGAGAAAGGAAGACGATTCGTCGTACCGTTATTGACTCTTAAACCTTGTTTGAATTTAGTTTCCCCGAAAATTTTAAACCTCTCATTTCTTTAGCTGATATTATAGGAAAATGAAACTTCGAGAAAATATAAGTATTGTAGTTGTAGTCACTCCCGAAGTCGTCCCAGCGGATAAAAAGTCACAGTTCGTAGAGAAAAAAAAATTGTCAGCCGACCGACAATACATCTCACCGACTTCAAACTTCTGCATTGATATAGTACACAAGGATCGAGCAAGAATACCAACACAGCTGACCCGACACAGCAACATATGGGGCCTGTCACCACGAAATGAGTCCAGTTGGTCAAAAACTTTATTCCTGTTTTTAAGTATTATATGAATCTACATTAAGTAAGCTTTAAATTAAGGGGTCACACATTAAAATTGATAAATTATATCCAGAAATATGAACAAAAACCTAATTGGACTTTATAACAATGGGATTACCCAGTTTTGAGATAATTAGGTGTAAAGTTAATGATGCGTAACATATTATAGTCTGGTCAACAACAACATAGCAACAACACACTTCCCATCATTCGATTTCAATGAAACTTTCAACAAACAAAGAAATAATAAGTCGATTTTTGGAAATATCTTAAATGTGGTAGGTGGGTCAATTTTCAGTACATACACACTATACATCGCTATCACTACGATTGAGCCTAATGCGACACTCGACTCATTTCGTGGTGACTGGCCCCATATTTATAAGTCTTTTGTCAATTCTGCTTTTTGCTACGGCAGGTAGCCGGTGAAAACGAATTTGTTTGCTTAAATTATAAAAATGTAAGGGCTACTTTAAACAAACAGAACTTTGTCATTCCTTGCTCATTTTTCATGATTGAGGTGTTACACTGTATATGAAAGGGCAGAAACTCAACTTTCTAGAAATGTGATTTTCTTGTTGAAATTCAGATACCGACCGCCAAACGACTTTTCGGTTCCTCTCTTCAAATTGATTTTAATCACTCACGCGTGAAATATGCATCATAATGAGTTGCATCAAATGAAAGAGGACATAGGCGCCGGAAGTGGGGGGGCAGGGGGGGGGCAGTTG